AARSYTTTKSCMAMYTTCYYYTKRMMAAAARKWARSYYAAAAGATTGTTTTTATGTTAAATGGKTTATCGTTTACATTGCTTACGTTTTCTMTCTCCGTTTTGTAGTTATTAATGCTGAAAATGCAGCTCACAARTCCGAAAAGTTCAGTACGATGGCTACACGCACCAGACATGAATACCTCAAGGACCTAGCTACAAATTATGTCACCAACATTACATTAGACACTGGATCAAGCAAGTCTTCATTTGGTAATTAAACTTTGGTGATTTCTTTCTATATTACAACAACACACCTTAAAATTAGGACATAAATTAGAAGGGCATTTATTAGGAAAAATAAATAAATAAATGAGCTGAGATAAAATTAGAAAAGCAAAGTGCGATATAAAAGAGCAAGGAACTGCTGARCCCAAGAAATAATAGATTTGAGCGTGATTAATCTTCACTTTCATCGTAAACTGCTCTATTGTTATCTAGAAGACGTCTTTCATTGCTTTTCATCTTTTCAATTGTGTTTATATATYAACAGGGAAGTTTTCTTTGTCTGGGAAAAAGAAAGAGAAAGTTCGCCCACCCATCAGTCCTGAACGGGTAGCAAGAGGTGGCCTGGTGTGGAATGTGGAGGTAAAATGCATATTATTGCATATTATTGTCATTCGTACTCAACGTTTCAATAGTCACTGCTTCACTGCTTCATTCCAACACATGCTCTGTCTGTATAGGTTGAGGACTACAGGAACTCGACAATGATTCAGTGTGTAATGGCAATATCATCAGACACGCTTGTTCTCATTGATTCATCGAGCAAGGTTTGAAAAWATATTCCGTTGTTCTTGTAATTTATTTGCATACAATTTAAGCATTGTCATGTCTTCTACAGGAATCGATTCTAAGTGTGTCAACAAAGGCTATAATAGGRTGGACCTCTTTATCTTCAAGGTAACGAGGCCGAACAGTCAGTAATATTTTTGCAAAGTTATCCCCAATATAATGGGACAACCGAAAKTGTATGTAGGAATGTTTGACATTGTAAAATGCCACATTCTCAAAACCAGGAATAGTAGTATTAAGGATAGACAGTAGAGCTCATTGATTTTTTATGTACATCCCCTTCAATAGTCTCCTCCCACAAATTTGTGGGGCGGGGGACAGGGAGCCCGACACTAAGAACGGCTGCGAGGAGACTACCCCTTCAACTGTAGCTTCCTTTCCAGTGGAGATTCAATATTTCGAATCTTTTTTTGGTCCGTAAGTTGTCCGTTAATTGAGGGTCCGCTGTATCATGAAGTTCATCACTTGTTTTGTTTTTTTAGTATCAAAGTATTTTATGGAGGAGGTGACTGTCTTGTTCTCAACATACCTACTTCTGATTCTGATGATTTGCCTGAGATTGTTCGAAGACTGGAGTCTGTGACCATAGGATGTCAGGTAATAGTAATTTACGATTAATGACAATTCTAAAACTCCGCAGTTTACTGTTTTCTTGGTTTGTGTTGGTTGAATTTGAATAGTAAAATTGGAATGTGGTTCTTTATAGACCCAGACGATTACCCTACGTCGAAATGCGCATGGTCAGCTTGGCTTCCATGTGCAGTACGAAGGTCTTGTGGCTGACGTTGAAATCGGAGGCTACGCTTGGCAAGCAGGGTTAAGACATGGCTGTCGACTTGTGGAGGTATGAAAATATTGAGTTCGACTATTAAGTTTTTTGGAACATCTAGTTACAAAGGGCAACTATCACAGCAAAGTGTCCAAGATTTCAACTGCTCTATTTTTCATAATGTTACAAAAACCTGATTTAACATCAAAATTTTCTGAAAGGGGGGGTTCCATGCACTGATAGTACCCCTCCGCGGCGGGCAGTATCGAGCCACGCGGTCGACTCTAGCTCCACCAATGAGAGCGAAGAAAAATTGTTGAATTATAAGCATAAAATTTTCATCTAACTTGCAATCAAATGACTATTTACTAAGTGTAAACAACAACAGCAAACAATAGATTTAGAGCGTTTTACAAGCTACATGCATGTACCTCATCTTTCACGCGGTCAAATAAAAGTGACTCAATAAGCAAACTCTATGAGGCATACACAAGAAAAAACAGATTTTTTAAACCGACACTTGATTTCTTTTAGATCAATGGATTAATAGTAGCCACACTGACTCATGAACAAATGATTGAAATCCTACGAAAACCAGGGTCCGTGACAGTTGTGATTGTCTCGCCTCTTCCAAGTGGAAAACCAAGAAAGTAAGTGAATGTTCAGAACTGATCGTGAGAAAGCATACGATTTCTTGTCCTGAACGGGGAACTGATTGACACCCTTTGAATTATGACACCAAAAAAAAATTAGTATTATTACATTGAATTGTCAGTCAAACTGAAAAGGTTTTGCAATAACTGAAAACAGTTTTTGAGTACGAAAAAGCTCTGTAATGCGTAGTTTTGTAATTGCAATTTACCTGATGAGATTGACCGTGGATAAATAAAGTATTGCATTGTATTGTATTGTATTAAAAATGACAATCGGCTCAGAAATAACAACATGATGATTCTGTCAAAGACTTTCCTTTTACGGTACCATAAAGTATATTTTAGATATGTATGAATAGATTAGAGAGAAATTAAGAATAAGTCTGCTTCGTCTATGTCCTGCAAAATAACTGATTATTTTTATGAAATAGTGCTGGTATTTGTTTTGAGCTTTCAGTTGTTGCATCCTTTCATCTAAGTGTGTATTTAATGGTTATTATACGTTTGTCACATTTTATATAAAGCAAATAAGCAAATTGGTCAGTTAAATATCCAAATGAATCTCTCAGTCCCTTTAGAAAATAATAAAATTGAAAAGCACCCATATGACTATTATATCCGCCTTTTCTCTTCGGAGAGGTACTAAGCCAATCATATTCTGCCTATTGTTTCAGAGGCCAACAGCCTTCTAATTATCAGTACTGGTGGTCAGCGAGGTCATCCACKTCTACCATCTCGTCATATGGAGGCAGTTTGACCTCGGTGGGTGAAGACCATGAATCACGTGACCAGCGCAATCCTCCCAGAGTGCTACCGAAGTATCACAAAAGATCGAGAGAAGAGAATGATATCGATGCGAGGTAAAAGACCTAAATGTATAATACTAGTAGAGAAACTAGCTATTTTATAACAATTAAAATATGAATTTAGAATTGCACTTGTAAGTATTACATGACTATTGATTCAATTAATTTTGCATTTTTTGCAATTTGATTCCTAAGTTTGGAGGATTGTTTACAAAATTCACCATAATATTACGTGGACAATCTGTCTTACTAACTGTTATACGAGTTACTAACAGTCCTCTAATCTAATCTCAACAGCAGTTCGTTGTCGTCCATTACTGGCAGCTCGTCAACTTTAAATGACGATACTCGCAGTCGTACGCCGTCGTACGGTGCTGCTTACACAGTAACGTCTGTCAATCCCATTATACAAGAACTTGAGAAAGCACAAATGAACAATCACGGATCTCAAGGGTCGTCAAGCTCGTACGAGAAYCTCAACACACCGAGGCCGCGGAAATGGAGCGGAGTCAGTTCTGATTCAGACAGGAAAGGAACACCCAGCTCTGTTGGYGTTACATTGAAGAAACCAACTTCGAAAGGTACTTTATATGTCATTGCMAGCGGRCCCCAGTCACCTGGTGCCCAGGCTCCCACTGGTGAGACGCCGTTGTTCGGAAGTACGACCCAACGTGATCGTCACCCACGAGTGGTTGTCGACGAACATGGYAAAGTGATTGGTGGAGAAAGTATCGCTATCGAAGTACAGTTGACTAAAAATGGCGAAGTTGATGCCAAACAAGTGTATTCCTATGACTCGGACAGGGAGAAAAGGAATGGGGACAAGGTTCCTTATAAAGAGACAACACTTGGGGCTGTTGTCACGACAACTAGTACGTACACACAAGACAACGAGGATATATCTGAGGCTTCCATGACGGAGACCATGGATAAAATCGAAAAAGCGTTTGCYTTCAAGGCGCCTAATGTAACAGACTCACCGAGGTATGATTATGGGAAGTTCGACAAGACGTCGAGTTTAAGACGAAGTGGACGAMGAAGTCCTACCGACAATAACCGACAACCTTCCGAGCAGGCTTCGCATCGAAAAGACAGTAGCGAACAGACTATCGTTGCACACGAAATCAAAAGTGAGATGGCCAGGGCGTTATCTCAYGAGGAACTTCAGGTACAGTTGATATTGCAGGAACTACAACAAGCTGAAAAGGATCTTGGAGGCACCGARGGMAGAATTGAAGTACAAACAGTGGTTGAGATGTCTCGGGGAAACAACGAAGTGATACGAGAGAGCACTCCTAAAAACAAAGAATATGATTCTCGCTTAGCACAGAGAAATAGCATCATGGAACGYCTAGAGAGTCAACGGCACGCCATTGGTGGAGATAGAGTCGAAGGTTTGAAGATTTACCACGCCAAAAGTAGGAGTTCTCCAGCAGATGTAACTAAGGCTCAAGTTAATCCTCTTGATAGAGCATCTAGAAACAAGCAAATGTCGTCGCAAAATGACTTGTCCGCCAAATCTAAAAGCGACCAAGAACGTACCTCTAAAGAATCCACTGAGGTTGTACAAAGACGTCAGAGTAGGCGTAGAAGGAGTGAGAGASTGGAACAGAGTGACGGTCCTAAAACACCTSACGCAAATCGCACAGTCAAGCCTGTAGTTCGATCAGAGCGAAAAATCAAACTATCCACGTCAGGAGGCACGGGTATTACCGATGAAAAAGCATCGACTTTACCTCGTTGTAAACCAAACCGGAAGTACCGACATGCCATTCGACAACACGACGCTAGTGATTCATCTGACGATGAGTACAGAGGCTCACGTGATCGTAAWCGAACTGGGGACGCGATGTCTGCTACTTTACCGCGGGATACGGAAGATAGACGACKCTCTCTCGGAGATAATACGAGTTCACCGAAGAGCCCTTCACTCATGAAAGGTGCTCGTTTAACCAAGTTAAAGATARGCACTGGGGAAGAATCCATTGAACTTGTCAACCAAACTGCCCGACTTTTGAGTGCATCAGAAGAAACTAAACAGGATTCTAGTTTCAAGATTTCTAAAGATGCTTTGCATTCGCTGACACAGGCGTCAGATTTATTAAAAAGTCAGCTTCCAGCCAAAGACAGAAGAGAARCCAGAGGGAGAGAGGGCTCGGATAGAAGTCGTGATCGTGATAAAGAAAAGAAGGACAAGTCAATGGCTAAGGTTAAAAGTCATGGTGAGTACATGAACCTTGTTTATAATRGTGTTGCTGTGGTATTTGTTATTGTCCTGCGTACCGAGYCAACCACACTTCGAGGTGATGCATTTTCAACATGGCAAAATTGTTTTTATTTGCTCTCTTTCACATCAATAGAAAAAATAGTGCTTTTACGTTATGATATGTATCATTTTATATTTACATAAAACGATTTAGCATAATTGTGGTCTTTCATTTTCATTCTTTTTTCGCCGAACAAAGAGTCAAAAGTTTCGTCTYCACGCATGCAAACTTATATAGGAATTACGATTTCTGAATTAYACTAAAAAAACAAAGATTCAGTGATCATGAATTATCGTGGTTCTTAATCAAATAGGTCTTATTATGTGGGAAAGAATAATGCCTTTTTTTAATTTCTTCTATTTAATCATTGTCCATCGTCATTAACATATCTTATATCTTGGTTAATTGAATAATGCGTTCAACAGTTGACATCACTTTGAATGGTTTTCTTCAATTTGTTGAGGGATATTTTGGTTCCCTTCACACATTGCGCTCAATACCAATTTTCTTCAATGGCGCTATAGTGTGAGACGTAAAGAAATATAATGCTACTATATGGCATGTTTATTGAATACAATGGCTATATTAATGTGCGGTTATTGTTGAATCAATCACTTTAACGGGCTGCAAACAACTGTCTTTGCAAACAACATGGCTAAACCATTGCGGTCAAAAAATAATAGGCCTCGCCAACGTAATGTATCAATTGATATATCTTTTACTTACTTGGTTATTGTAATGCGTAAAGGTATTTTAGAGGTAAAAAACACAAAACACTAAACAGTAACACGAAATAGCCTGAAAACGTTTTCATTAAATAATGGTGAAATTATATCAGGATACAATTTTTAGGATAATATGTGCAGCGAAAAGTGAATAAATAGAATTGGAGAATTTATCGAAATATATACGATTATAAGAGTTGGCACCCCTTCGACCTACCTGGATAATTTATTACGTATAACAAAAAAACACACTTCTACAGTGGCAAACAGCGTTTTTATTGCGTTGTGAGATAAACATCTTTTTTTCAGAAAGTTCCAGAAAACAATTTTATCTTTCGCTTTATTAAAATTATCCTGAAATTAAGGGGTAAACTTGGCATTTTTACATGAGCGGATGTATTGACTAGGTTGTCGCTTCTGTTTGTACAATGTATTCAAGGATTTCGATTAAAGTGCGAATGAACTCTGTTAAGTGCTAAGCAGACGTTATATTGGTCTTTGTGTGAGCTTGATTAATATTAATGATGTTTCCGTTATTCGCTATGTTACTTTTGAAAGCAGTCGAGCCAGATCGGAAGACTTTATTGCTGTATTTTTAAGACAAATCTCTCGGCTATTGATTCTAATGGGGTTTACTTAGAAGCATTAGAAATTCTACTTAAACCGATTGATTGTAGCTTGCGGAAATTACCAAATGCGTTCCAACGCAGGAAAACAAAAATCGAGCTGGAATTCTGCCAAAGGTAAATACTGTATTTCTGAACACAAACCGAGCTTTTACTTTAAACGTGCCCTTTGTAAAGTGGTTTCTACCGTTTTATAACATTAAGGTTTAGTAAACTTGCCATTTTAGTATTTTGTAGTAAACGAACAGAGACTTGAATAGTGTTTTCTAGATTTCAATGAAAAAGCCATTGTTAACTAATTTGTAATTCAACTGCTGAGACTCCAACTTTAGGGAAGTGAAACATATGCATATTACCTCCTGGGCTTTTGAATAATTAATGCAATAACCTTAATACATTTAAGTATAGGTACGTTATCCGAGACGAGGAGCGTTATAATCTTAATAACTTAAAACAAATAGAAGGAGTTCAAGTAGGAGCGATATAAATCAGCAAATATTGATACATTTATGTATTTCTATATGTAATTTATGCTGGACATAGTCGAGTGCTTTCCAAGTGTCTTTATGATAAGAATCGTAGAGAAAAAAGAGAATGTAGTCACCTGTCTCTTGCCATTACAAATGAGTATGGGTGTGTGGCATTCTTGCTATTTCATCGTATATAATTTATATAACATAACTAGCATATTAAATCAATATATAAATGCATTCTCGTTACAAGTAATACCGGCAAGAAAACAGACTTATTATTCCAGTGATCCCAAGGTTGAAAGGGCTTTGATTCTTATTTAGTTATACAATGTACCAATGTCTAACTGTGTCTAAAACAAGCGATCCTGATTCCACTATCAAAACAACTTATCATGATCTCTCGCGGTTAAAAATCCAGATCTCAAGTTGTCAACACTTTCGTTACAAAAAAGATTATGCAATTAGAAGTACATATACCTCTCCCCTAGAGGTCCGCACCTCAGGAAGTTATGTCATCCACACCCAGCTCATGTAATCTGTACAATAATATAAACATCCTGTCCTGCCAAACTCGCGTCATTCTTCTATTGTATGCTTGCTACTGGTTTTAAAGTGTGATGGGTATTCTCAGTTGTAGTAAGCACTTATCATCGACTGTTGTCTAGTTCTCTTACAATCTGCACTTTGTTATGATTTTCGTCGAAATGCCTCGAACGATTAGCAATTACTTCCAGCAAACCAGCAATAAAACGTCAAGGAACAAACTTTTGGAGGACGTTTTAAACGAATCTTTGAATTTGAAAAATTTAAGTAAGTTGGAAATCATTCATATTCAGGAAAATATGAAGATAATGTTGAGCTATGTAGAAGAGTAATTTATCATGTAGCTTTTAGAAGTTATTAATCTGTTCTTTCACGGGTGCTTTGTGTATAATTGCGTCGTAAGAGCGCTAGCTTTCCTGGCAACAAAGTATTCATTTTCGCCCTCTATCTATCTATCTATCTATCTATCTATCTCTAAAGCGTTATCTCTACAAAAGAGTAGATTCAGATGTTGTGTTGTTGATTTCAGGTCGTGGGAAGTCACATGGACCCCACAAGTTCCATATTCCCGTTGTTCCTCGAAGGCACAGTTTCGATGACAGGATGTTGGCCCATTCAGTAAGTATTTCATGTTCTTGTAATCATTTTTCATCATGAAAACCTATGATATGTGTTGTTTTCCCATCTTCATGGCTCTCACAATATTTGCTTTTAAGTTTAAGTTGTACAACAAATATTTACTCGATAACTAAGAAGGGCAGACTTTTCCCGAATACTTGTTTCCGGTCCTTAATTGATTATAACTAAATCAGCTTTTAGAGTATAGTCATGTTGAATCATGTCTCAAMTCGTATTGGATAGAATGCAACACGGCCAAAAAATAGTCCTCATTAACTGTTCGAATTTCGTCCAGGTTTTTCTAGTAATGCTATAAACTTAGGGTTGACTTGATGTGCTTTATCCGTGTTTACATCTAAATCAATTGATTCTATTGTACAATAACCACCCGCTGTGATGTTCAGTGACCTCTCCCTGTTTCTAGAATGAATGGTCCTTACGTCATCAAAGAGTGACCAGGAGGCATGATGGGATTGTTGTTAGTTTTGTAGATTTGATTGATATTTGTAGAATCAGATGTTCTTACGTTAGCGCTATATTTTATGATCATGTTCTGATATTTATTGTCTGTTCACAGGTCTCAAAACCTTCAGGAGGCGAAAGGTAACTCTTAATCTTTTAGTGTTGACGATCTATTAGTTGATGGATTGGTTGATAGGCCGAATGATTGATTGATTGATTGATTGATTGATTGAGTAWTTCATCGATCAATCGATCGATCTATTTTTTAATGAGTTGGCGATTTATCGGTTGATGGATTGATTAGTTGATAGGATGATCGATTAATTGAATGATTCATTGACCGATCGATCGATCCGTTCTATGTGTTGACTATTTACTGTTTGATGGATTGATTGATGGACCTATCGATTGATTGAATAATTAACCGAGAGGTCGATTTATTTATGTTGATGTGTAATTAATTGGTCGATTGAGTGATTTCGATAGACAATTCATCTGTCGATGGATCAGTTTGTTGGTTCATTAATTGATCAATAAATTTATTTTGATCAATTAATTTATTTATTGTTAATTTGATTGTGATTGGTATAAAATCTTGCATTGACAGATCGTTATATGGGATTAAAAGGTTAAAATTCGTAAATCATATAAGTTAATGCTTGCTTTTGAACGAAGAAGCAATTCTTTGAGTCTAATATCTGGATAAATAATTTGTAGTTCATTTACGAGAGAAAGCATCGGCCGTGAAGCTGAACTTGAGATGAAATTGGCAATCGTATCGAATGCTCTTATGAAGGTACGTGAATAACGGCAACTGCATGTTTTTCATTTCCTTGTATTTCAAGGCCATAATACGATTTTTATTTCTTCTACAGGAAGGAGAAGAGAAACAGCGATTGGAATCAGATCTAAAAAAGGCAGTAAAAGAGAATAGAAAACTTCAAGAGAATCTTCACACAGCGTCCAAACAATTACGAAAATTCACAGAATGGTTTTTTAGTAACGTTGAGCAGCCCAATCCATAGCCATGGATGAACAGAAGTATTTTAGGAATTGGTTGGAATCTTATTGTTTCAGATTATAATTTTGTATTTTTCATTATAAATACAGTCATGGCATATTAAGTGAAATTCGCTCGGTTGTTGAACGTAGATTAGGCTGCGCATTACTTTTCAAATCATCTTATTGCAAAGAGAAGTGTATTTTAAGCCTAGCCAAACTAGGATGCATGTAACGCGGGCGACGAAATTTATCGTGGCGAATTGTATCAGTCGCTCGTTTTCCGGACTCAAATCTGGTTTTTGTTAAATTATATCCAGATTTTTATTCTTTATTTTTTACTAGGACGAGGGAAACTGAAAGTAGATTAATAAGAAATCTTCCCTTTCTTTTATTGCCGGGCTTACTGTTTTAAGAGTGCACATGAAGGGTTTCTATAATTTAAAGCGGTATAGTTTTAGTTGTACATATATCATTCACATCATTAATATTATATTAACATCTCTTGTGAAGATTCATATTATTAGGAAAGTTTTGCATGGTATTTTGTTATCTTATAATAACATGTATTCATACATTACTACTGGAAGGGCATGTCGTAAAAGGCGTCGGCTCTACSGTTGATAAATCGAATATTTTCTGAGAAAAAGATTAATTTCGTTACAAATAGTTTAGTGTAAAGACATTAAACCATGGAAATACTAAAACAGATCAGCATGAAAAAATCGAGTTAGCGATTTAAATASGTTGTACATTTAGTAGTCCAGAGTGAAGTAAATTAAACCCGTGAAACATTGACTATTAAAGTGCGTGAGTCGGACACAAGCAAATAATTAGAAGTTACAATATTTACTGTATTATCTATTTCAAATTTTTACTTCACTCTAAGCATCTTTCAAGGATTTTTTGACTTAACATTAACTGTGCAATGTAATTCACAATTTGTTATACTCATTATGAAACATTCACAACAGCAAAAGAGAATTTTTGTACAAATTTATGAAGTTTTGTTTAATATTAAAGTTATGCTGCTGAGCAGGTAGCTATARAATGATAAAATTTGCGTTTCAAAAGTAGAGTTGTAGTTTAACGAAAGGTATTTCGCATGCTCATCAACTATATATTTTTATCGTTTTGATCGGTGAAGCTTACGTCTGTTGCTTCAAAAACTACTATTCCCTCACTTCAACAATGTAATAAACACACGTGACTAGTTGGATGATACTAGAGTAATTTGTACGAGATAGTAGTCATTTTCGTAAGAATATACGAATCTGATATTGTTAATTATGATAATAAATTTATTATARAAATTATTGAGTGTTTCGTAATATAGATCGGATTTCGTATGGCTGTAAACAAACACTGCAATTTCGTGAAGTAACTGTGTCCGTGACGTTGCAAAGTCATACGAAATCCGCTCTGATACAAAACGACCAAGAATACTCCCAGCGCATTCCTTTTGTCCGCCCAGCCCTCATTTTTCCAATCGGGTAGTGTTATTCCATGAAGGGTTGTCTGCATGACCCAATGGTAGTCGGTGAAGTCATTCAAAACCGTGAAACAAAGTTTTTAAACTAATTCATCTTGGCAGGTTTTCAGATTATTTTCTTTACTTGTGTAACACACAAGTAAAGAAAATACTAAATCTGAAAACCTGCTAAGATGAATTATTTTTTTGATACCTATTTCACGGGCTTTTGTGACTTTACTTTAAACTTGTCTTTTTAGAGCTCTTCATTAGAGCAAACGCAGGAAAACCATGAAATAAATAAATACTAACAAATAATCGCTATTTAGAGACACTGTCTCTAAATAGTATCAAGAGATCAATCACATGAGACCATTTTAATTTGTTGATTTGTATCGATTCATAGTTTATTGTATGTTCTTTGTCGCACAATAAGTTAGTCTCGTGAATTGGTATCTTGATCACTTTCAAGTTCATTGATACTGACAAATTGTCTATTCATGGTTTTCCTGCGTTTGCTCTAAGCCATGAAACAGAGTGATATTCAAATAATCAGTGTGTGATACAATGCAAAAAATCTTTGAAAGGTGGGTCAAAAGAAAGTAAGTTGCTGAAAGTAACTGCTAAAATGTAACTTTTTGGACCAAAAGTTCTGTCTGTTGCTCCTTTCATAGTACACGGTACATATTCCTGTGCGACGTTCAAATGAGACCAGCAAGTGCGTGTACGCTGGATGAATCGGAAAAATCCTGGAAGACTTTTCAAACTCAACAATGTTGTGTGACAAGTTGGACATTTTTGTTTCTTGTAACACGCTGCCTTTTCTGAAATCACATAGCGCATTGCATTGTGGTCTAGATTCGGTACAAACATTCGTTTCTGCGGCCAAATATGGTATTTGTACTGAAGCTAGACCACAATGCAACACGATTTTGTATTTCAAAAGGTATATGACATCACACGATACAAGACAAGTTAAGGATGTTTACTTTTTATTATTTGCAAGTGAAATTACACTGATAGTCGCTGGTTTTTCCTAGTTTCTAAGATATACAGAAGCTTAGTAATTTGTGTATGTGAAATGGTATCGCTATAGTCTTAGAATAAATCGCCACGCTAATTCCAGGAAATCTACTATTATCATATCACCATGGAGACGAGGTTGTGTTGAAGGATTGTTTTATTTATATAGTATTCACTGAATTTTTAGGAATAAAATCTTTCAAAAATAAAGATAAAATTCCATTCAATGTCCTCTGTTATTGAAGACTAGTGGTAGATCATAATGGGCGCTATTGGTGTAATACCAACCATTGGTCATACTAATTGATCGTTAAGAATAACTGCTCCGTTCAGGTCAGTTTAACAGAAAATGCTCTCTACCCCCTCCCCCTCCCTCAAAGCAGTTTTGTTAGCACTYAAACAGAATCCAGCAGGTATGTGTGCTCTCTAAAGWACTACTTTGAGCGAATGGGGGCCGGAGRAGGGCAGGAAAAATAGAAAGTATGCGGTGACTTTCCAACATTCAGCGAGAGTCAAATAAATATTCAGTGGATGTGATTCTAATGATAATATACAATGGGAGGCTATAGTATATAGCATTGTTTAGTAATCATAAAGTACTATGGCGTCGTTCCCAGTTGCTTGGAGCTGTGTGTTCGAGGTGCCAGTTATATATAAGTGATTTGTGGCTTGAGTTCACAAGTTTWTTTTAAACTAACAGTACGCATGGATTCCTAAATGGTCTTGGTGCAAGATTATATKTATATATAATTCAACTTGAAACTAGTCTGTTTTGTGTTGCAATTCCGAAGCGAATGCCGGCACGGGATAGTGCACTGGAAATTAAAAGTCCGGACCGTGATTGTTCTATACTGAACTGCCTCTTGCTTATGCAGCAACACAAGGGATTTATCTGCAGATGAGTATTATTCAGYTCGGAGCAATACACCTTTCGCGATTAAAACCAAAAGTGGACAACATGTTTAATTTGCTGTAGCCCTCAAATGAATAAGAGTGYCAAGGCATGTCAAAATTATGAAATTATTTTCACCAACAAAAATTATTTTCAAAATGTTGAAAAGCGAAAAACAAGCTTAAAAGGGGGTATTTTTTGGTTGTTGCCCGATTCTGCCTCGCTTTTGGTGCAAACTACAGGTTCCTCGCGGAACTAATTTAATAATAAAAATGTTAACTTCTAATTAACCTAATGCTCCTCTCGCTATCGATCATGTGTTTTTATAGTTCATTTCGTCCTAAAAGGAATCGACTACAAGTTAAAACTCCATGAAAGTGCATTAGTCTGCAAGAGGTCTGATTGAAACACCACGAAGTCGATTATCTGTAACTCACRCATTTTCAGTTGATATTTTTCTCCTTGCCATAGTTTCCACGGTCCCCAAAACATTCTGTTCTGATTCGTTATCTTTCATTCATTTATTTTGGCCGGACATCCTAGACTGGCGAGTTTCTGAATTCTATCACACTATTGCTAATTTTGTATCTTTCTTTATATCAATACTTCATGGGGTTACTAGAAACATTAGGCGACGAGGCCATACTGGTAATTTCATCTATGTAAGTCTGTGTGAGGTACACTAATGATAAAGTTTACTTAGAATTGAATTCCTTTCAAATTTGACTTCAAACCGCGAAGACAAGTTTCAGTCAATGCCTTCGCAGAAGAAAGTCTTTAGTTTCAAACTTTCACAATTCTATAATATTTACATCTATCCTCCTCAGTTGTTGTGAACACCACTCGAACTGTACGAACTGCTTTCTTCTCACATAATATAGTTCAAAGGGGCATCGATTTGAAAATCCCAGAAAACGTGAATGATTAAGTGTTTGTGCATTTTCAATGGTTAAGTTCTAACGATATACTATGTGCTTTTTGKGGGTACAAAAGTTGTTGTGGTGTGTTTTTGTTGTTATACATGTAAATATAAAATAAGTTTTCGTGTTACTAAAAGCCTCTCGACTCCGTTCCCATGCCCATAACATTGACATCACTTGCGCTCATTTGACAGTTGCGACGTTTAACTTCCTCGAGTTTCTTATTCCAAGCAACATAAAAGCGTTGAACCTCATTCATCATTGCCTCTTCGATCTCACTACACTGTTGGGCGACAAGGTTCTCGTATGACGTCTCTGGTGTCACTATGCGCTCGACTTCTGTAAATGAAAAAACATTAAAACAAACGATCAATCTTCTTATGCTTAGCTTTTGCAATCAAGGTTCTCGGAAATAATGGTGCACGAAAAATATGTCGTCTAAACTTAAGCAATAGGACACATTTGAATGATGGTATCATTAGAGTGCAACTATCCGAATATTTTATCAAAATTGAATAACGTATTAAGGAGGGTATAAGAATTAGAGGGGGGTATAAGTTCAATTGTAACCTGTTTTGGCTTCCTTTGGCTGGCGCGGCCTCCAGTAAGCAAATTCCCAAATAAGCCCACAAACAGTAAGTGCAGCGACTAATCCAAGGCAGGTGAAGATGGCTTTCTGGAAAATTGGCGATTTGGCATCAAAGAGGTTGCTTGTTTTCTCTTCAGCAGCACTCTGAGAAGGATCCTGACAAGAAAACAGCACATTAATGTCAAGACGCGTTTCAAATGCAAATTATACATGACAAATCATAGTATACGACGTAGGCATGAAACAGGGTTTGCTGTCCAAAATATAGTCCCCCCTGCATAATTCAACGCGCCAGTAGATAGTTGATAGGAATCACTACCTTTCTATAGAATAAGGACGAATTATAATCGTCAACAAGATAGGCTATTCAAAAGACGAAAAATGCATCTGACTTATCACACTGTTCAGCTATATATACTCACTTCCATGGTTCTGGCTTTTTCCTGGATGATGGCCGTGATTTCTGTCTCCATCCTGTTCAGTTTTTGACGCAAGCATTTCGTTAAGGTATCATCGTTCAGTACACCATCGACAACGAAGCCATAAGCAAATTGATGGTCAATGACTGTACCAACTCGTAAATTATCGTTTTTTAGTATTGCACTGCCGTCTGGATTTTCAGTTGCGTCTGCCCAATATCCAGCTACATAACTGTCAAGAAGAGCACCAGTGAACTTCGTTCCCTCAGCTAGAACGTTATTCTTGAGTTCCTCGACAGTTGGCACCTCTGTTTGATCACAAAAAAGGCATTGAGATAATTATAAGCTATTCTCTGTCAATAGCTATGTTGTAGGGCTGCATATGGAAACATGCGCTAACCCACTTTAAATTTAAGGTTATTTGCTGCGAATTCTAAAACATTTGAGCTTTTTTCAATGAAGATGTTCTCTCAGTGACACTATATTACTTCAYAGATAATGTACACTACTTTTATGCAAATACCTGTAACTTTTGCATTACTTTTCACACCCAATCTCTGTTCCTCAGTGTTAGTTAAAGCAACCACCTGGAATTAAAGACAGTCATCATCATCATCGTCATTATCATCATCATACCCTTTGTAAAATGAATTATTTCGTTTCTTTTTATACTTTGATTAGTTTTTCTGTTTATGTAACGTCCCAAGTGTATTCGTAAGTCAATTTAGTTGTCCGTTCAGTTAGTAAATTTATTATTCAGTTTAACGTAATAATCTGTGTAGTGGGTTTGTTTACGATTTGGTAAGTTTTATGTAATTTTACTTCGTTTTACCGGTCCCCAAATGTAACTTTATGTACGTAATGTATATGTATTGTATTTATTAATTATAGAATCCTTAAATTGGAGTCTCAAACTAAATAGATCCTACCCCATTCCATAAGGTAAGCAACCCATTCAACTTCATTTGTAATTGAGTGAGCTATTGATTAAGTTTCTGCTTACCTCTGATCCATAAAGTTTGACCTCRTTACTGAGAGATATAGCTGTAAGTGACGTTGTGACAGTTGCCGTGAATATAGAGATGATGACAAGTCCAATCAACACCCAAACAAAGGCAAATGTTCGGGCTAATACTGAACGAGGTGCCCTATCACCATAACTGTAGGACAGATATAGCAGTACGTATTAGTCTATTACTTGCAATGACTCTATGAATTTCACTATTAATCTTCTAAGGACTCGTGTCAACATCAAAGTTTGTCGTAAACGCCCCTTGATAGCTTTGTTTATAGATACGTGTTGAGGTACGTGTAGTAAACTTTAAATATTAACTTATCTTRAACAGATTATTATTACTGTTGTTTTGTATCAATATCAAAGAAATGCTTTTCAGAGCATGAAAGTGTACTAGTTATATCCTTACCCAACAGTCGTCATTGATACGAAAGCCCACCAAAAACCTTCCCATGTTCCCTTGAAAAAAGAACGAGGAAACTCCTCAGGGTTCCAGTAGGTGTCCTAGAAGAATGAAGAGTATCATTATTTTAGCTCCTTTGTGCTAGATTGTATACACTTCAAAGTGACGTGCAAACGTACCAGTGCCCAAATGATAATGCCAGAAAGTGCTGCCATGATCAAAGTTAATAGTAGTACTGGCCATCCCTGAAAGACAGCCTGCATGACGGCAGTAGCTGCAGCAGAAGAATCCTCTTTCTTGACGATAAAGACTACACCAGGAGATTCTACCACAGGGTAGAACGGATAGTTCTGAAACCGCACTTCTTTCATATCACCATACACTGTCAAGCTGACAAGAGTGCCGTTATTTCCAACATTCTTCTTGACCTCTTCGGAGTCGTTGAAAGGTGTCGCACTGTAACTGAGGTTTACACAAGCCCCRCAACAGTCTTTGAATAGTTTGTCCAGTACCTTAGGGAAGATGCCTTGCACCTGTGCAATTATCAAGTCAGAGTAGAATTGTTAAACTCATTCATCATTGTAAATTCAAGTAATAAGTCGAGATAATAGAATTAGGACACGACGGAGAAGTAAATAAAAACCATAGAAAAAAGGGATATAGAGAAAAGGAAGGTAGACAAAGGCGGAGAAGCAAGTTGAAGGCAGACAAAGAGAGGAAAAATGAATAATAAAAAACAGGAAGGAGGGGTGATAAAGACTGACGAAAAAGTATATGATATGAAGATGATAAAAAAGAAAAAGAAGACTGAAACAAAAAAAAAAAACATAATAGAAGACATTAGATAATTTTTGGGATCAAATGTTTATATATTCAGTTAATTTTTGAGTTAATTATACCTGATTATTGTCTTTGCCCTTGTAAATGTATGGCGGTGTTGGCCACCAGCTTATTGGAATTGTAGCTGGACATGGTGGCTTGATAGGACATTTAACTAAACATAGAAGTAAGACAAAGTTTATAACAGATTRACTAGCATTTTGGGATGTTAAAATGTTTTTTCCCTTGTTCCTATTATGAATGTACATATCATGTATGGAATTATTCCATTCAAAACATTCACAAGTAATCTGCATATTTAATATATCATGGAGTATACCATTGAAGACTAAATTCAAACAAAGAGCTAAAAAAGAGAAGAATTAGTCTCTAACAACAACCAAGATTAAACATCTGATTTTACAACACTTTTAGGGAGCCACTTAAACGAAGCAAATAAATGAAGAACAATGGAAAACCACGATTCATCAACTTGCTTCAATTCAACATCACCATACAGCATGCAACCATCCAGTTGTCAAATGTCTTACCACAAGTTCCATTACTGAAGCATCGTGTGCCGTAAATGATTTCGGTGTAGTTATTCGAGGAAACATTACTTTTCGCTGTGCTATTACCGTGGTTTAGGGGACTTATACTGTCCAGGGATGAACTGCTTTGAGAGATTACAGTTGTCCTGATCCTTGAATTAGTAGAGGTTAGGATGGTGCTGTTATCTAATGTTAATGATGGATTAGTGCTGATTAGTTCTTCTGTGCAATGGATTATAAACGTGTAGAAGATTGAGTTAGTTTATCATTGGAGTAGAGTGAAGGTAAGTCAAGAAGAGACAGAGCGAAAAGAAAGGTTCATGGGGTTGTCAAATGAACAGATTCCAAACCTTAAAGGTTTTGTTGGGACTTTTAATACAAAAATCTTCCTGTTCTTCAGTCTTAAAATCAGAAGAATGGTTCTCTCTTATTTTGATTTATTTCTCATTTATCACAGGGAAAGAAGAATTAGCAATAAAAGCAAGCATTTCATGAGWCGACAACAAGAACCGCCGATACTAGAGCGGTCGATATGTCACAGGAATAAACAAACTAAGCTTTTACTGCTTGAATGGATTGGATGAAGATTAATATCTAGATGTAAAGGATTATAAGAAAAGATCAGACAGAATAATGTGCAATTTATGACCATTAAATATATATTGACAAACTGATTGCCATGAGAAGTAATGACCACAGAAACGCCCATCAAGAACGTTATTTRAAGAATTATATACGCTATTTATGAGCGAGGATACAATGTTCATGAATAAACAAGCTGGCGTCAACTTTATTAAGGCATAGAAGTATACAAATAGCCATCTCTTAACAAGCAAAACCATGCTGTTATGTTTTCAATACTTGCCATCTTCTCAGTCTATGTGTATAGAATTGCAAATGTGCGGTTATAATCATTAATGGCGTGGAAAATAAGTGCAGATCACTTGAAATCAGAAACAACCGCAACGTCAATATTTCTCAGATGAACACAGATTAAAGTTTAAACTCCTGTGCTATGATTGAAAGCCGTGTGTGATCATTAATGCCGTGGAATTAAACGGCCTGATAATGAGGGCGAATTACAAGCATTCGCAAGAAAACAAACCTTTAAGGCCTGCTGTAATGTGTGTACATATAATTATTAAAAAAATCATGGTAAATTAAAGTGAGCTGGGATTGCGGAAGGCTGGGAAGTAAGAATACGGAGCTAAGTGCAAATGACTGCAGTTGCTAGTACACTTTACATCACACCATTGCGTAGTAAGAAACGTCAAGTTCCGTTTTAAGCTGACGTAAGATAGTTTCAGCAGCAGGTGGATATGCGRCCTCGACTGAAAAGTGATCAAAGACTGACATACTGTCTATTGCCAATTGATAGCCTGTAAAACTGTAAATGATACCAAAGGAAATTGGATGTATGCTGTGCTGTAAGAAACGCACAGAAAATAAAGACGATTTCTTGCTTTATTTTAAGAGTTACATTGACTTACATTGCAAGTTATCTCGTCTTTTCTCCACGTTTGTTTTGTTTTACTAATAATATTATTATTGAACGTTACACCATGGGATTTGAAAGAAATTCTGTACAGCTATCGCTATATCCTTTTTTCGTTGTTTTTTGAAGTTTTGCCGACTTATTGCGCAGTAAGCAGAGAGAGATAGTGATCTCCAATTACTAATTAACGGCTTGGTATTCCAACCAATCACAAGCCGCAAACAATCAAGTACTCGTTGATCATCAGTCGGCTAATTTTTTCTGTGCTTAGCTCGAACACAGACTTCAAATCCTACAAAACGCCGGATAGGAAATACTGTCTATGCTTAAAAAAGCATACCATCAACGGCTGTGCTAAACGAATGGGCTTGAAGAGCAGTTTATTTTAACATAAATGAATTGCGGATATTCGYACGGATTATAGTTTTTTTATGCTATTAACTACAATACTGTTGGATCGAAGGACTATTGCGAAATTCTCAAATCAAAAGCTCTATGCATGGTTMCAATGAAAAATTTGTTATTTTAATTTCTTATAATTAAAGGTGACAGATTTTCATGCCGAAATTCTTTGATCTTTTTTATACCAAAAACAAACTTTAAACTGAAATCATGATCGAGACGTGAAAGGAATTGATGATATTACGTACTTTGTTAATAATTCATCGCCAAAAAAWTTTTCTCGAGTTTCAATATCCTTATTTTTATCTATCAGTTATATTCCTCTTCACAGGTTTACTTGAACTATTTCAAAACTTTTTACAAAATTGAAAGCTTCTAAAATCAGGATATTGATACATTCCGTGCCGTTGAAGAGTGTATAAAAGTCGACCYAATAGCAACCGAACGGTTGTCACTGTCAAGCTAAGCTTCGAAGCAAAATTCAAGACCCTTCTGTTGTCTTAGGATCTAACATCCATAACCACCAAACGTCTAGATCGTTCGATTGTATTGAGAATTCGTACATGCATATTTGTCTATTGACACTTCGCTAACAAATACTTAGCAATAATAGTGAGAAATGTAGCTGTTTTTGGCCAGGTTTTTGAAAAGCATCGAGCTCCATATTCGGACACATTAAAGAAGTTATACATAGAAAAACAAAACAATATATTCATGTCTGGCAAGAGATGGTTAATTCGAACATGACAAATATTCGCTCAATCTAGTCACCTGTATTARTACAGTACACTTAGGAGTTTCCTAGGAATAAAAAATGACCGCTTGTTCTGTTATTGTGGTTTCTTCAATAATCATTTCGAAAAGTCAAAGAAGTGAACAGATTCATAGCTGAAATGAAATAGATACCTGTGTTATTCGCTGTTTGGTTGGTGCCGGAAGCCATTTCTACGAGCGCTGCCACCAAAAGCAGAGCTGTCGCTCGAAGAAGACTCATTTTCGGCGCTAAAAGTTGTCTTCTATTCGCTTCTTCGGTAGAGTATGACCGTTGAATTCCTTGCCTTGCGGCTGCCGAAGCGACGACGTGAAGTTTTCCGGCTTATTCCTTCTTGGTACTTCTACTCGGATGAAAATAGAATTGCCACAGAAGTGAAATGCAAATGTTCTTCAGTTTCCTAGCGATATRTCAATTGAAAATCCACTTGCTCTCAAACGTCATTCATAATTGATGGTCTTAAATATGCATTTTAATTCGTAAAAAAACCCGATTGATTTTCTGCAAACACAATGATCAAAAACAGAAACCGATATTTTTAAAAAGCGCGCAAGCACTGTTTTRRATTTTCTCTGGCGAGCTAGCTGAAAGCGATTTACACTTAAAATGAATCGACCAAATTCACGCATGCGCAGTTGGGTTTTAGAATTATCAGGATAAAGCAGGTGGCTTCCACTTTGTAAACACGATCGATTGAAATGCAAATTTAATCCTAACTCCACTGAAGTAAACTTACTATCGACATAAAAAGATCCTTAATTAAACGCTCCAAGACTATATCACCCTTTCTATTAGTATTTCGAGGCCATAACAAAGTCTTTTGCGTGAGACCTTTTCAGTTGTCGATTGTAAGAAAGGCAATTACACGATTTTCCAATAAGACGGAGATTATGTACATATAGAAAAATATTTATGTTTACAAATCATTTTGKAAAAATTAATAATATTCTCTCCTAAGATTGTTTTTTTTTTCTCCACGCTAACTGAAGACTCAAAAACATTGAAAATTTTCCTACAGAAGAAAATAGCAAACAAACCGCTTCACTTCTTAATATTTCGATCTCTCACGCAGTTTGTTGCTATGGCAACGCCGAGGTTATAAATAAAGGAGAAATAAAGACAATATAAGCATATCAAAAATTATTAAAATAAATAGTCTTCTTTGTTTAGAATAYGTGTTAATAGGACGGTGGTTATTAACAGTTGAATCAAATGAGAACCTGAGTAAAAAATAAACTTAACAAATAAAGTGGACTAAATAATCCCCCCAAAATAATAAAGAAGCTGCTAGAAAAATAAGAAAAGATTATAGTATAAAGAAAGCTTCCCTGCAAGATGTCTCTCTCAGTTATTATACAACGAGAGAAACTCAGGCTCAAAATAATGTTTTTTTTTTCATAATTATCAATTCAATTTAAACAAACTATAATTGAACTGTTGAAAAATCATTTTTTGTTATGCTTTTTTGGCATGGTAGACGGGATACTCAGGAACGACCTTGGCTTTTTAACTACTCTCTGAACGTACGAAACACAAGTACATAAGACATTCAACTAAAATGATTGACAGTTTCTAAGTCAAATTTTATTCGAGAAGGGAGACACTTGTAAATCAAAATAAGATGACAACACGAGGTGTAAAAGTCATATCGACACAAGGGACTCCAAATGTATTTTCTCCTGTTTCACCTCTTTGTTTCAATAGAATATCAAGCCATGGTTCAATAGGCCTGTTGACCAAATTATCATCCACAGGGAAATGACCAACAATGTAGAAGACATATTGGGACGTTTTACGATGATATGCACTAGGTCTTGCAATCGCTTTAATTTACCCAAGTAACTTATATCGTCCCGAACCTAAATCTATCCCAAATGCATTTTAATTCCCGTTAACACCTTGAGAATGTACGTGAAACCGCATTTTGGAGCGATCGGGAAGTTTTATTWTATTTTATGTTATTTTTAGTTCAGTTTAAACATTGAAATTTTCGTAAATATTCAAATGCAGAATTGTGAGAAGTTTAGCTAGACCTATGTCTAGAGTCATTTTCATGTATTCATTATCGATTTCCAATTCATTCTAAATTTCTAGTGTCTCTAATTTCTTCGCTTTTTCCAGCTCTTTCGGCTTGAAACGCTTCTTTTCACCTAAAATTTCATAWGTTCAAATCTTTACTTCAACTATAATAACCTGTACAATAAATAAATCTAAACATTAGCTTTTGTATACCGGTTTTCAATTTCACAGCGAACTAAATCATTAAACTGATTAGCTTCACTTCATCGAACTTCAATTTCCTCATTCGACCTCGTTAAATCTCAGCAATATTCTTATTCAAAACACCTACTGTTTTTCCTTTTGTTTGTCTTCTTTCTACTTAGGTTACACTATCAAATGTGCAGTCGACGTTCGGCGGATATGAGTACAGTTAGTAGTAAAAATAGACGTTCCCTAAGTAAGTGATGCAAATATTCTCATCACGTGAGGCTGCCTGTGGTACTGCCTCTTGCGATATTCAAAAGGGGACTGGGAACGAGTATGAAAATAGTCCACTTATTGAAAAACTCAACCTCGGCACGTGAAGGACCATACTATAATTACTAATATTTTCAACTTTGAGCTCATTTGTACATATATTCCCTTATTTCATACTTGATACGACAGTTTTCATTGCTATTCAACTTGCTTTATTTGACAAACATACTTCTAAAAGCCGGAAATATGATGGGTTATGTATGAAGGATTTATTGAAACGTCGTCTGGATGTGTTAAAATACATCCCTCGTGTTCAGAATAGCTGTTATTTAGCCACGGTCTTCCGTTGTCCCTCAAGTATCGTTGAAGAGCGCAGTATATTTGGTTTAGAGAATTTGGAGTATAAGCCTCGTCGTCAGATTTCTTTCTTATCTCAAAAACAGTAGCAAAGCTCTTCGTTGTCTTTTATTTCTTCGATATATATTATGGTGTACTTGTAAATATCACTTTTTGTGGTACAACATTCTTGAAGGTTTTCGACGTGCCCAATCCTTCCAGGTTCGTACTGCCCATCTTGTGTTTAATTTTGTTTTAGTTGGAATTCCTGCTTCGCCTCTCTTCGCCATTTCTTTATCCGAGACTATACTGATTTCTCTTGACTTTTCGTCCTTTTTCTTCCCCGCAGGATTTGGTATTTTGCATGCTAACAATTTATACCCACGTTCGGACTTGCATTCTCTAATCACTTAAAACCACTTTTATAGTAAAATAGCTGCGTTTCACACTTTAAATTATTCCTCATTTAAATATTGTACAATGTGTATTACTCCTCGTTGCAAACAGGGAACACATCGGAGTTTTTGCCTTAATCTCTATACGTGCATATAGAGCACCTTAACTCCGTTTTGATTTTGTTCTATTRAAATCAAACAAAGCCCATTGGATAAAGGGGTGCATTAACCGCGCATTGATTCATGGATATCACCTTTATCTGGCCAAGATCGCATTACGCTGATAATCACAAAAATAGCGCGTGCCTATTWCCCACTGCGGCAAATAAAATATAACTAAAATGGCGCCCAGGCGTTATAATTGAAAAAAGGAAATGTTCACCCACATCATTTGCCTTACTTAACCGACTTGACAACAATATTAAAGCCCACTGCGTTCTGATTCATTCATATTTGGCCCTAATTTACGTACAACACCACCATCATTACGATTCTTCTGACAATTTAAGCGCCGTTTACAAGAGCAATTTTTCCTTGACAAGTTTCTTGACAAGGAAAAATTGCCCGTGTAAATGGTCAACAAGTTTTCTACGACAATTCCTCCTTGACAATGTTACTTTGCTAGTGTAAACGAAGAACAAGTTTTCCTTGACAAGGAAAAATTGCCAGTGTGAATGGTCGAGCAAATTTCGTCCTTGCCAATTTTTCCTTGTCACATGTTGTCAAGGAAAAGCGAACATGTTGGCTTTTCCTTGACAAGGAAAAATTGCCCACCCCATTTACACSAGCAATTTTTCSTTGTCAAGGAAAWCTTGTCAAGAAAAAATTGCTCTTGTAAAGCCACTTTATGAAGATCATCACGTACAATCAATCCTGTTGTAACCCGAATAAACGCTCGAAGAGGGACCAGAGGAGACATAAAGGGACCAGAGTGACCATAAAGGGACCAGAGCTGTCAGCCGTTCTAAAAGCTTCACACTGTGTGCTTGCGTTTAGTGATAATCACAAATCAAACACTAAAAAAAACTATGATCCATAAAAACATCACAGCAAGTATACTGTTTAAAATTATTTTAATCAATGAAAGATTGATCTCTAATTATGAGTTACTTACATAAAATTGCAATTTACAAGCTTAGTAATAAATAATAATATGATAATAAATATTGTAAAAAATGTATACAATTTTATCTAAATAAGTGTTGTCGAGAAACGTCTTCAGTGAGTTGGAAATTTATGGTGATCATTGTTGTCTGCATCCTTAAGACTACATATGTATACAGTCATTTGAAAAACGTCTGGCCACCAACACATATAGCTATACTATCATAGATGCTGGCTGATGTTTTAAGTCTTTAATTTGTCATTTAACTTCACAGAATGTGATTGATTTGGGTCAATAAATAGAGTAAATCTTGCTGAGAAAAACGCAAAAATGAGATCAAATTACCCATGATGCACCAGATAAAAATAATATTTGTTGGCGGTCAGAATTTCATTTTTTAATTTACTTTTATTTTACAAATGACTGTAAAGTATGAATCTATCTCTGCTAAACATAATAATGAACGGTAATTGTTATATGTGAAAATAGGTGTAACTGGTATTTTATTGACATTGCCATGCTATCGAAAAAAAAAGAGACTCGATCTCCCTTTAAAAAGCACATTTAAGTCCAAAAAATAAGGAAAATATGAGGGAATCAGTTTAAAACCCCTTTTTTCTTTCACTTTTTTTCTGAATAATAAACTCAAACATGATTTCAACTGGTGAGACAGCATTAATTAACTGTGCTTGCGCACTGCCTTCGATAGTAGCCTCACTAAGCACTAGTTTTTAACGTGATCTGTGCACGTGATAGAAAACCAAACAAAATGAAATCTGCAATATCACGGAAAAGGTTCTAGCTAATAGGTTTTAATTCATAAAAATGAACATAAATTATCAAAAAATCGTTTAAAATATATGCAATTATATACAAAACTTACAAAAATCAAAATAACTATAATTTTAAATACCTTTGTCATAGTGTTATTCCTTCACTTTTGAATCTATCTAATGAAATAACTGTTTTTTCGCTGTTTTTTGCTTCCCTTGCTTGGTTGCTTTTGTCTGTTTTAAATGTAGCACTTTCCATTTGTAAGTGTCTAAATGGCACGATCGGTGCCTTTGGTCCAGGTAYGGTAATGTTCCATCGAGGAGTGAATAGCACGTTGTCCGTGATATTAAATGTCATATCAGGAATTGGATCTTGRTTAAAAACATCTAGATTACGAAGTCTTGCGGGGGTTTGATCTCGAAGTCGGTCTAAGATGTGTTTCCAGTTCTCTAGATACGC